AAATCCAGAGGAAACACAATTGAAAAAAAAAATAAAAAAACACCCTCAGAGCAACCACCCCAAAAGCACACGAGCCCTCTCTTTCCACTCTCTTTCTTGCTGTCCTCCTGCCAACTACATAATCCTTGGTTAAAAACGGAACGAGGCTAATAAAAAGAAATTTTTAAAAAAGAGAGAGCAAGAGAGGAGGACGGAATGGAGCCGAGGAAATGCAACTGTCAGAAAACGGGATGGTCAGACTTCCTGAGTGAACCTGCCTGTGTCTGGCTTAATGTAAATCCACCATCTTCAGCCTGGCAAGTTGTCTTTTGGTTGGTTTTTTTTTTTTTTTTTTTTTTTTTTTTTGGTGGGGAGGGGGGGTTGTTATGTTTGCGATCTCTGCCTTGGTACCTAAGGAGGAAGAGGAGGAGGAGGGTGTGTTATTGAATGGTGGCTAAAGCCTCCTCGGGACGGCGCTGAGGTGAAACAGGCTGAACCCGACTGATGTGCCTCCTCTCTCGGTTGGACCCAGTGCCCTAAGCAGCCGATGAGAGACCCCCGGCCGCCTGGCTCGCAGGTAACAAAAGAAATACCAACCCGCGCATTTTCTGCTGCTGCTGGGGAGGCTGGGGGGGGGGGGGGGGGGGGAAAGAGAAGATGCAGGAAAGGGAGGAGTGGAGGGGAACCGCCGTAAGTTGGCATCGGATGGGGGGAAAGTTTATTAGCATTTTTTTGCAGGAAATTTCACGTAAGGCAAGAGGGGGAAGCAGGGATGCGTCTGCCATTAGCCGCCGTGATGGGAAGGGATGCACTTGATTCTGGCACGAGCAGTTAGGCAGAGCAGGGACCGAACTGCCTTCTCTCTGTTTATGAGCTTTTTTTTTTTTTTTTTTTTGTTAGCCGTTGCTTTTTGCTTTTTTTTTTTTTCAAAAAAAAAAAAAAAAAAACACCACACCTTAGTCCTCGGTTTAAAAAAAAAAAATAGACGCCAGTCCCGCAAAACAACCGGCCCCCCCCATCCCACACCCCCCTTCAAAAATCTCAGAAAGGCTGCGCTGAAAGCAGCCCCCGACCTTGCCGGCGAGAAGCCTTTCCTATGGCGTGGCACGGCACGGCTCGGCGCGGCTCAGCACGGCGGGGATGCCGGGGGCTCCGGCAGCGCCCGGCCGTCAGCCGCCCGTAGGCAGCAGCCGGACGCGCATCCCCGCCGGCGGGGCCGTGCCGTGCCGTGCCATGCCGTGCTGGGCCGTGTTGGGCCGGGCCGTGCTGCCTCCCCGCTCCGTGCGGCGAAACTGACAGAGAGGCAGGGCGCGCTCCTAACGGGCTCCTCTTCCTCCTGCTGCCGGAGCCGGCGCGATCCCCCTGCGTTCACTCGCTCAGCGCCGCGCTCATCCCCGCACAGCCACCCCTGCCTCTGTTCCTGAGAAACCTACCTGCCAAATAAAAGGGGGGGCTGGGGGGGGGGGGGGGGCACCCCTCACCTTCTCCCGCACACACGCACGCAGAGACAGGGTCCCCATTGCCCTGCTGGCATCCCCCCCACGTCCTCCCCCCCCCCAACCCCCGCCCGAAAGCGAAAGTTTGGGAGGTCGAGGGGGGTGGAGATGGGGAGGAGAGGGAAGGAGGGTGGGAGAGCGGAATGTGCCTTCAAAAAGCACCTCAAAGTTTTGGGGGGACCGGGCTGCGAAACGAGAGTGCGAGCTCTGAAGGGGCTGGCGAGCGATGACTTCTGACAGCCGTAACGTCTTCTCTAATCTGACAGTATTTCCCCCCACCCCGAGCTCCCGGAGAAAAAAACAAAAAGAAAAAAAAAAAAAGGCAAAATAAAAAGTGGGGGGCACCCCCCGAACCTCTGCTGCAAAGTGAGCGGGGTCTCCCGCTCAATCCCAAAGTTACAGCCCGAAAAAGGAAAAAAATCCCGAAACCAAAACAAACAAACAAAAAATAATACACAAACAAAACGCATCCCCCGGAATAAGAGAGAGAGGGAGAGAGAAAGATAGAAGGGAGAAAGAAAAAGCAGCCCCTCCTCCCCAAATGAGAGCAAATACTGTACCTAAAAATGGGGAAACAGGCAGAAAAAGGGGGGAGAGAGAGAGGGGAGAGATACATGGGATCTGGGGATGTGAGTGTGTGTGTGTATGTGAGAGAGAGAGAGAAAGAGGCACAGAGAGAGGGAGAGAGAGAGAGCGAGAGCGAGAGCGAAATATCAAAGATTGTGCAAGATCAGCCTGGAAAGATAATCGATACTCGACCTAAATTTAACACAAACTACTCAATAAAAGTTAAAGAAAAAACTTACTTTCCATTTCCCCTCGCAGTTCCTACTGGATCTTCGCCTCTTTTTTTTGTTTTGCTTTATTTACTTAACAGCTGATCACATCCAAGTAAACGAGAGAAGGTTCATTAAAAAAATAATAAAAAAAAATAATCCTCCAACTTTATTGGGTGAAAATAAAAATGATTGAGCAAGAAGTGGGGGGCATGGAGCGGTCCTTTGGGGTCCGGGAGTTGTTAAAGCATGTGCCGACCGCGGTCTCGCTGTTTGGTTGTGAAGGGGTTGGGAAAAGGAGGAAAGGAAATGAAAATCCGATATGTCTTTATTCTGCTAATTATTATCGTTTTAGCCCTGTTTAAAAAAATGGCTGATTAAGTTGAGTGCGCATGTCTTTGTGTGTCTATTCCCGATATGCACTCTGGGAATGAGAGAGAGAGGGAGAGAGAGGAGAGAGAGGAGAGAGAGAGAGAGAGAGAGAGAGAGAGGGAGCGAGAGGGAGAGGAGAGGGAAGAGGAGAGGGAGAGGTGTAATTAGTGAGGTGATCAACATTCTCCGGGCTGCAAATGACGCGCAGCCCCGGAGCCGGGGAAGCCGGAGCTGCCGCGGCTGCCGGGGGCTCGCCGGGGCTGCGGGAGCCACAGAGGCAGCCCGGAGAAGAAGGGGCAGCAGAAAGGAGCTCGTGGATGCAAACACAAGTCTGCAAACTTCATTAGTAACACAGACACACACACACAGGCACACAAAGTAGATGGCTAGGGAAAATTAAAAAAAAATAAGGGGGGGGGGGAGGGGAGCAGGGGGGACAGACTTGCTCTTTTAACTGTTCGGGAACTTAAAAGAAATGGGTACAAATTAATTATTCCATCAGGGAGATATTTCTTGCTTTCTGTCTGTCTTTCTGTCTGTCTTTCTCTTCCACCCCCCACCCCCTCTTTTAATGGAGATTTAATGAAAAATATATGTTTGCAATGGGATAATGAATGTATAACGTCCCCGTAAATGGAAAGATAGTGTATCTAAGATAGGGAATATCTTACAGATATTCCTATACAGAGATAAAGAGGAATTTATTTACAAGCGCACGCATGCACGCATCCCACATTATATTTACACATATATACATAGGCTTCACATACACATGGTCACATAAAGCACAACACACTTCATTTGGTGGGCACCATGTAATTGCTTGGAGAAATCAACAAAGTAAAATGCAAAGCCTTCTAGAATATACAATGTCAACTGTAAACAACCTTATCAAAATGAAGTAAATACAAGCCCAGGGAAAGAGTCTCTTTGCATACGATACATGTTTCATGCATATACTTGCGATCATCTTCCACTTTCCCTACAAGTATTGATATTTATTAATACTTAGTCTATTATATTTTACCAGACACCTTAGATATTTTTGAGGGGGGTGGGGGGGATAGGGGGGTGGAGGGAAGAGGTTATAATGATGAAAACTAGGATAAAATGTACAGATGTCATTATAAGTCGGAATCTTCTACAAATATTTTCCTGTGTGGGATTTAAGAAGATTGCTTCTCATTTGAAAATCTAATTATCTTAACCTAATACTGCAGATGTGAATATGACTGACACTTTCATTAAAAGATAATTAACTAAAACTAGGAATAGACATACTTTAAAATACCCCCTACTGAAGATAAAAACATGACTATTCAAAGAGCGTCCGAATACACCGCAAGAACACGTGCAGATTTTTGATAATGCCATTCCAGAAATGGGTATACCAGAAACGGTCAGTAAGTCACGGTTACATGTGAGGGATATTTACAGTACCAGGGACCCTGTGCAGGTGAACCATAACCTCAGCGCTGACAAGCTTTTGAAGTTCGTGATTCCTAGGACACACGTCAAAAGATTCTCGTAGGCCTTAAACGCCAAAACCCAGCAGGAAGGTTTTATTGCAGCCTACCATTAAAAGCACGCACCCACAACAACAAACCAGCAAAAACCTAGATGGCAGAAATATGCACCTCTCTGGGCCTGAAACCTTCTATGCCAGCAGAACATTTTGCAAGTACTGGAGCTAACGCTAATAGAAAAATCCCCACCTGATGATGAATTAAGGCTGCCCTTAAGGAAGCATAGGCCAGTGTCATGGAACTGAGTTGCTAAAAGCAGATGTTTAAGGTCAGAGTGAAGGTCCTGATAGTTTGTGAGGGGAAAAAAAAAAAAAAAAAAAAAAGTCTTTGGAAAAGGAAGGAAAAAAAAAGACAAAAAATCGCCAGCCTGAAAGTACGGCTATTCCAAAGATCCAAAGATCGGAGCCTGCCAATAAAGCCCTACTCCAATCCAGAGAAGCCTTACTTCAAACTTCAGGAAAATCTCCAAGACTCGAACTTTAGGAAAAGTCAGGGGCACTTGAGGGTTCTTGAGAGCAACTTTATTCCTTTTTCAAATTTCATCTAAGCATTGCACCAGCTCATCAATGACAAAAAAAAAAGAAAGAAAGAAAGAAAAAAAAAAAAACAACAAAACAAAACCAAACAAACTGAGCACATGTATGTAGATTTCCACAAGCACTGCTCCCTGTGAATGAAGGTAATAAAGCAACTAGCAATATTCTTCATCGTTATTTACAGGGTGGAAAAAACCGCAAAGAGTGAAAATGAAATATCTGAAACCCGTTTACAGTTATCGGATTGAGGGGGTATGATGGAAATGGGCTTTTAGGTTTAAATTGTAGACGAAACAGAACTCTGAGATAGAAGGATGCATTGTCCATTCAAGTGCATGCCTGAAGGATGGTAACACATTTCCTAAGACTGGAGACAATTAAATACAATGTGATGAAGAAACACCTGAGAACAATACATCTATTTCAAATTCAAGTGAAGAAACACGTATACTTAATGTCACAGAAGAATAAGGAAACGAAGATAATTTAGTTTTAAAGTCGCCCCTTCCCCCGCACCTCCCCCACCACCTCCTTTATTCCTAGTGCTTTTTTCATGGTGAAACATCAATATCATTAATGTCATTAATGTCAAAACACCAAACGTCAGAACAGTCAAGTCATTCTTTTTGGCTGTAGATTTTTCCCCTTCTCTCTTCTTGGAGGGGGATATAGGTTTATGGTGTTCTTGAGTTACAGCTAAAGGAACAAAGGGGGGGGGAGGACACAGGCAGGAATTGCGAGAGGAGAGTCTACATTTTTCAGGGTTTCTTCTGCCACTGTTTACTGTCCTTCCTAACGTTTTAAATCTCCTCTCTCTTTCTCTCTCTTTCTCTTTTTCTCTCCCCCTAAAAATAGTAGCTATGAGGGAGGGGGGTTGGGGAGGGTGAAGGAAAAAAAAAAAAAAAGGGCACTACGGGATGTTAACACTTTAGAAGAAACCCGGGGATCGCCACGTAGCTAGGAAAAATCGAAGAAGGTTAATTCCGGGAGGCAGCAGCAGCAGGTTTGTGGGATGTGATAAGAGCGGGAGCGCGGCGCGGGCTGGGGGAGGCAGGCGAGGAGGACCCGGGGCTGCGGCTGCGGTGCGGCTGCGGTGCGGTGCGGGGCGAGCCGGCGGGTGGGCTCCCAGGCGGGCGGGCTCCCAGGCGGCACGGCTCGGCCCGGCCCGGCCCGGCCCGGAGCAGCGCGGCGCGGCTCCCGCTCCCCTCTCTCCTCCCTCTCTCGCTCAGCTGATCGCCCCCGAAGACTTGTCGCCTTCACCTCTCAGCTCCTCTCCTCCGGTCCCGGCGGACCCCCCGCCCACCCCCCTCCGAACTTCTCCTGCAGGCACCGTTACACGTTTGGGGATTTTTTTTTTTTTTTTTTTCCCGAGACTCCTGTTGAAACCACAAAAGCTCTGATAGTGACGTTACGTTTCAAAGGGAGGGAATGGGGATGGGGGGGGGGGGGGAGATTATAACAACAATAATAATAATAAAAAACAAAACAGTCTGCTCTGTCCTTCCACCACCTCCAGCCTCAGCCCCAAGGAAAACTTATTGGCCTGGGCGAGGTCTGGTGCGGGCCAAAGCCCGAGACTGACCATTCTTTAATAGACAAAGAAATCCCAGTCCAAACTGGGCTCTGTTACACCACGTCTCTCCGCCAAGCTCATTTCACTCCCTAAATCTGCGCTGCGGACACACAGGGGCACAAGGATCTGCATAATTACAGCCACAGCCGCTCCCCTTTTTAATAAACCGACATAATTCCCTAATAAACGTCCCCTTCCCCCACCTTCTTCTCTCTCCAGACCCCAGCCCAAGGGAAAGGGGATCCGTGTCTTTTTACTGCGTTCCCTAAGTCTATAGATGAGCTCAGTTTGAAACGAGGTATTACAAGATTTCAGTGTTACAGACCCTTTATCTGAGCTACAGACACTTTCAGATCCCCAGCCCCCACCTCCTCTCCTTTTTGTTGTCTCTTCTCCTCCCGGGGGCTATTTGACAAAGGCAGTGTGTTAACTAACATTTTTGTTTAACTCAGCAACTTCTTTTCAAAACATACTTAAACCTGATAGCAATCTCTTGTACTTTTTTTTTTTTTTTCCTCCTTCTTCCCCGAGATGAAATTGACTCTGAACCCAAAGCGTTTGGCTATTATTAATTATTTCTTCCTTTGCAGGTATCATGTATACAAATCTATTGTTAATCCCCCCCTCTCCCGGCCCCCCCTTAAGCCAAATACATTCCGGTACACACTAAAAAGAGCTAAGGGGGGGGGGGGGGGGGGGGGAGGGGGAAGAGGGGAAGGAAGGAAAAGAAAAACAAAATTCCCGCTCTGATTCCTAGAAAGTTTTGTTCGAAAAATAAATGAAACAACAATAATACATTGTATTACGATTCTGCCCTCGCTGTCCCACATTTGGCATTCATCTCCTGCAAGTGCGTCTAACGAGCAGTCACCTAAGACAAAAATCGTACCCGAATACAGTACAGACATCTCGATAAGATTTTGCGCTAAATAGTGCCGTTCCTGATTGGCTTTTTGCTGCTGTTGTTATTTTGGCTGAAGCCGCACAAACCCGCGCACCCGGACATTACTATAAATAAAAGCCTTCCAGGTCTAAGTCTGCTGCCGGCGTTTCCTCCGGAGCCCTAACAGCCCTTTTTCAGCTCCTTTCTTGGACAGATCGCGGGGATTAAATGCCCTGAACCTGAGCTCCTGGCCTTGGATGGGAAGGGAAAGAAAAAGGGAGAGGGAGAGAGAGAAAGGAGAGGGTGAAGGAGCCAGGCGCCCTCTGGGCTTTCAGAGGTCAGCGCTTTGACAGTGCTCTGACCTCCCTCCCCCCCCCGGCAACCACCCCAGTGTTTATAAACAAAAACAGTCAGGACTAGCCCCAAACAATAGCAATTCACCAACTTCACAGGCACTTCACTAGCTCTTATGCAAATCAAGGAAAACGACCGCTTACCACCACTCTCCCCCCCATCCCCTCCAGAAAGCCCAAGAGCATATTTCCAGCAGTGATATATCCAAGGGAAAAATTTTACATTCTCTCCTGGAAAAGGACAAAAAGGGACTTCAGAAAGAAAACGATTCTGGTAGAAAGACAGACAAAAAGGGAGAAAAAGCCAATAAAACTGCCGATCTTACTGCAGAAAGAGGAAAGTTATGAAATATTTATATCTAAATCCAACAATCCACACTGCCAATAAAACAGGAATCTTTGTTGTGTAGACAATATGCTAAACTACCTCTGCGACAAACAGCGATTATAAAGCAACCAGGAAAAGTTATTTTCGCCCAAGGAGCCAAGTTTTCAAAGAAAACGTGTGGATTTTACAGCTAAATAAAAGCCACCACCTCTGTGTTATCCGTAAAAACTACACATAAATTAAAAGCACCGTTAAAAGAAAAAAAAATCCTTCCAGCAAGCAAGCAGCACATCTGATCTGATTTACAAAAAAGTATAATTAAAACCACCTTTAATTACAAAAAGCAGCAAGCGAAAACTAAATGAATCAATGCTTTCTCCCCAAAAATGTTGTCCGCCAAGGTATAGAAATGATAGTTCTATAGTCCTGCATTAAAGCGTAACTGAAGCTCCACAGTTCAGGAATTGATTACGCGATAAGGAAAAAAATAAAAAAGTGAAAGACAAAAAAAAAAAGGTTCTAATGATTTTAAAACTTTTGTTTATAAATGATGAAGATCAGAAAAGGTTGGAGGAAAAGTTAAAGGAAATATACCTCAAGAGAAAAAAGACCATCTCCTTTTCTTCTTTGTCTATCAGTCTCCAGTTAAAGCATATGGAAAATGTTTTCAAAATGCCTAGATTTGGCACATTGTCATTGCAAAGAGAGGAGCGCAGTGATGCTGTTATAGAAAATGGGAAATAAATTCAGGATTGGGTGCTGCCTCCTTCAATGCGGATTTATCTAAGTTTAATTTAATATTCCGCAATCACTGTATGATCGCATATAATTCACCAAGATTTTTAAGGGCTTTGCCTAAATATGTTGACCACAGGCACAAAGTAATTTATACAGATTATTTCCTTCTTTTATTTGTGTTTATTTTTCTCATTAGAAACACTTTAAATTGCAACTGTAAATAATAGAAATGATGGAATATTAGGTTTGGGGTGAACAAACGCTCAGAGAAAGCATTAGCTTTATTAAAATCATTCTGAACGTAAAATCAAAAAGCACAAAATGGTTGTTTGTAAAACACTAAACCTTTAATCGATTTATTGGCATTCCGATCGATTAGATAAACGGAAATCTATAGTAAACATAAAAGCATTTAAAATATTTTCCTCTCATTTCTAAACAAAACTTTTCTTTTCGGTAGAAAAAAAAAAGATTATCAAACGACTAACAGGAAATTCTTCAGATATCAAATTACGATAATAAAATTATTTCCACATGGAAAGGGATAATGACAATGATGATAGTAATTATAATAATGAATAATTCAACAGCCCTTTGACATATATGGAAGAGCCTGGTTCAAAACCAGCTTTTGAAGGGGGCTACTTTTAGGGAATTTTTAAAATAAATTTGAGTTTTGAGGCTGAAACGCTTAAATCAAGTGACAGCTTAGGTACAGCTGCTAAAGTTGCGTGTTTTTTTTTTTTTTTTTTTTTTTTTTTTCAGGCGGGAGCGTTCTCTTTGACATCGCCCTTGAAATTAAGTTACCACTTATTAGCAGAAAATAAGTATGTAAATATGCAAGGTACTTCTGAAACTGAGGGGACAAATGTGTGTCTTCACACCAGGGCGATGAGGATGGGGACCCTTTACCTTCTAATTTAAACGATTTGCCTACTTCGCAGTGTACTTTCCAGATTACAGCAAAATTCTGCAAGCAATAATGTATTTGAGCGTTTAAGTGAAAGAACACAATTTATTTAGGGGTGGAGGGAGGCGAACAGCAAGCCGGAGAAATGCAGCAATCAGAGCTTGTGGCACTCTGGCTGCGCGAAGAGGAAGTGTTGCTGTAACGGGTATTATGTTTATTTGATAAAGAAAATCAATGAAAGTGGCTGTAAAGTAGTTAGTGAGGCGTGTGTTTGGGACTCGGGTTGAATAGTGACTCCAGCGGGCTGGTCGATGAGCTCTAAGAGCTCTGGAAATCTAACCTAACCCTCAGAGTGAGCTCTCTCTCACTCAGTACTGCACCTTCCCCAGGCTGGGAGACTTCAGTCCTTGTCTCCTCCCTCTGTCTCCTTCCTTCTCTCCCCACATCCCTCCCTCTGTCCCTCCTTCCCTCTTTCCTTCGGGTTTTCTGCTCCTGCCTTCCTTCTTCCCATCCGCTCCCACTATTCCCTCTCCCAGGATTATTTGCTCTCCTGAATCTCCCCCTTTCCCTTTTTCTCGCCCTCACGCTTCCATTCTCTCTTCCCATCTCTGCCGTAGCTGTTTCCACCCCACATCCACCTGGTCCTCTAAGTTTCCCTGTACTCTTGGAGCTTTCCTCCTCCTCTAATTCTCTTTCTATCCTCTCAGGTCTCTGCGTGCCTAAGTTTTCTTCCAGCCCTTTTCATGTCTGTCTTCACCAGCCAAATTTACCTCTTATTTTGGATTGGTTCCTCCGGACATGTGCTATATTAGTAATTATCCCCACTCATTTCCCTCTCACACACCCATGCCGAAGAGATGAGCGCACCACTCACTTTCCTCACTTGGGATATTTTAAACATTGGCTGATCTTCAGTGGTACTTTATTTTAGACCTTCTGCAGCTATTTCCCCCTTTTCTCCCGCTAATCTTCATTCCCTCTAATTTACAACAGAAATGTTTCTCCTCCTCCTTTTCATTTCCTACTTTACAATTTCCTTTGGGGTTTCTAAATAGGAATACGTCCTTTGCATTTCCATACCCCCATCTCTTTCACTGTCTCTCTTCTGGTATTTTATTTGCCTAGTCGCTCTAGGAATATTTATCTCCTTAACAAGTTTATCTCCCTGTCTATCTCAGTTCATCTGCCCCAGTATATATATATATATATATATATATATATATATATATATACATAAAAAAAAAAAAGTTGAGTTTGTGGCTCTGTTCCTGCGAAGTAACTTGGTTTCAAACTTCTGTTTTGAGTTATGTGTCATTACCTATTTTCCCTTATCACATCTCCGTTGCCCTCCCCGCCCCCCCTCGGCTAATAACATCTTTAGTGTGGTCAACGTTAAATATGGCAGATCTCTGAAAAACGCTTCCTTTCCTGCTCTCTGCTGGAATTCATTACCCCACAGCCCCGCTCTTCCCACCGCGGGCAGTCTGCTGGGTCCTCCGCGCTGCGCGCAACCCCGCCGAGCCGCCGCAGCCTCTGCGGCCGCGGGGATGCGCAGCGGCCGCGCCGCCTCCCCCTGCCGCCCCCCCACCCTTCTTCCAACCCCCCATTTTTCTTTCCACCCCCCCAAACCTCCCCGCTTCCCACCCGCAGCCGCCGGGCAGCGCCCCCGAGCCGCGCAGCCAGCGCTACGGCAACACGGGGCAGCCGCGCGGGGACCGCCCGCAGCCGCTGCGCACCCGCGGGGTCCTCGCCGCGACGGAGCAGCGAAGCCTCGGGCCGGGGCTGCCCCGGGGCTCGCATCCAACAACTTCCCCCTCCGACTCCCTGCATCCTCCCCGCATCCCTTCTCCGCCGGCTCGGCAGGTGCGAGGGCTCCGCGCTCCGCGCAGCAGCTCCGCGCTGGAAGGCGCAAAACTACCCCCCCGGGCTGCTGGCGACGGCAGTATCCTCACTCCCTCGCGGGGAGAGGTCAGCTTTCCCTGCCTCTTGCCTCTCTACCTGTCCTTGCTTGTCTGGGGGATGGAAGGTGTGCTCAGTTTTCTTTCTTTTTTTTTTTTTTTTTTTTTTTTTTTTTTTGTGTGTGTGTGTGTGTATGTGTGTGTCTTTTCCCTTACTGAATCCTGGCTCTGCGGAGTGGGATTTAGCCGAGGGATTCCCCCCTGGCCAAGTCACTACTGGCTGTAACACATGCTATGTGTATTGCCTTTGTATGGTCCTGGTTGGGCCACATGCACTTAGCTTGCAGTTTATTGCAGGATTTTTTTTCTGCGTGTGTAGTGAATTCTGGAATAAAATAATAATAATAATAATAATAATAAGATTTCAAAAGATACTGCTAGAGTTGATGTTTCAGGCCCGCACTGGGTTTTAAATAATCCTTAATCTAAGGGAATGATTGTTCCAGGTTAAATGTCCCTACCCTCTTCTTTGTTCTATTACTTGGTTTCTTCTGTTTTGTTCTTGCAACAATTCCTTTTAAGAGGAAGAAATCTACTTTATTAATTTCATCCATGTCAACTGAAACATTTTCACTGTTTTGCATATGGCTGGGGTTAAACTGAGATTTCCTTTGTCCCTACAGGTTGCACATACAAAGTGAACAGAATGGGCCCAATCCTGCCAGTCCCTTCTTGAGTGAGTAACCGTAGATCTGGCACCTTGTCAGAAACTCTAGCTACCATCAGAGCCTCTATCTGGTATGAAGTCTGATACAATGGCTTCACCTGTTCCAGACACCAACAAGGCTACCCAAAACAAAAGATGTTCCCAGCTGTTGACACAGCTCATATCATTCTGGTTTGCTAAAAGCATGCTGTGTAGTTTTTAAACTAAGCCTCTAATAACTATAACTTTCTGCTTTGCGTAAATGTGCTTCAGGGAGGAATGATAGCTTTTACTTTAAACATTTTGCAGTACCGACACAAGCATAAACGGAAATGCGTATCTGAGATGCTTTCAAACAAAATACAATCCACAAACAAAGCAAACAATATAATCCAAAAGTCTTAATAACTAAAAAGCCAATGTAGAAGTGTCCATTTTACAAATATTTGCCTAGGAACTTAGACTGTTAAATTCTGTCAATATCCCCATCACCCCTGAAATTATTGCTCACCTATATCCACAGTGACCCCAAATTGTCAGAGAGAAAGCCTGCCGGTTGTAAATCCACACGGGGCTACAACAGGATTGCAATTTATTATAAAGCAGAAACGTTACTGAAGGGAAAATTGGTGCCTATTCCCAAGTCCACACCTGAAAGGCACACTTTTTAGAAACAAAAATCTTCCAGAGGATTGCTTAACATTTCTTGTGAGATAGCATCATTACATTAGGTAGATTATATTTATTCTGTATTCTTTTTAACTCACTATGAAAACCTTCTAAAATTTTATTAAAAAAAAAAGGGACTGCTGAAATTCAACAGCAGCTTTAAAAAAATTGAAATATATATTTATGTTGCAGACTTCGTATGTGAAAATATAGGACAGAATAGTCAAGATAGAGAAATTCTTTATCCTTCTTTTCCAAAATGGTCTAGCTTGGAATAATGCTCTTTTTCCCTCTGAAATGTGTCTGATTCTAAATGAGCACAGATTTTTATTTTTTATTTTTTTTTTATAATTTAATTTCAAAAAGGAAATGAAAGACTGTTATCAATCTAAATTTAAAAGTATGTTGTAATACTTTGAAAGACAAATATTAAATAGATGTATTTCAGGAGAGATTTGGTATATAATGTGCAAAGAGCTTATTTTAAACAAGGGTGCATCGTTCTTTCAGATGAGAATGTGCACGCTGTAGTTAGAGTCATTGGATTTTTCATCTTTTGGTCTACTAATTTTCAACAGAAAACTATTGTAATGTAAAGTGTACATAAACAAATTCAAAGATGACCTGAAATTTATTCATAAAGGTAAAATGAGTTTAAAAGTTTAAAATGGCACTGACACTATTTGTAAAACATCTAATTGTAAAACATAGTTCGTATATATTTACTCAATATTTACTACCAAAATACACTTATAGATGTAAAATGACGCTAACCTGTAAACAAAATGTGTACCACTTTTCTCTTTCCATTCATTTCTGGTGTCAGTATAATAACAAAGACAGGAAACATGTTCCACTCTTCCTCTTAAAAACCTTTAAAATCATCTCTTCACAGAAACATCCTTAGAAATCAGAAAAACCCTATGAATCAGCATTTCCACCAAATAATTATTTTAAATCTAAATTGATGTACCGTTTTCCTCTGTCTTTTTCAGTAGATAGTTATAACTGCTGACTGATATGATACACATCAGTAAAAAAAAAAATAATCAAAGAATAAAACTAAAATGTATTATAAGGCAACAAATGCATAGTTTTACACTTACATCGAACCATTTCGTTTTTTTTTTTTTTTTTTTTATTTTGAAGCCTTTGTAAATTATAAAATCCCACTTGATCCAGTTAATATCAAAGTTAACTGCTGACAGGTAAAATGCTGTTTTCTGTGTAAGATTTACACTTTAGTTGCACAGCTACTTCATATCCCCATTCCACATTTATTTTGTTAGCATAATGTTATTCAAACTTTTATTTTGGGAATATTGCAAAAAATAACATATACCTTTCGTGTGTGTGTGTATGCACTAACATACAGAGACAATATCTGTCCCCTTTACACAGAACTATTTGTCTGTGACTATATATTTAGATGTATAAAGGTGTGCTCATTTTTTTTGGTTCTGGCACAGTAATTAAGGTAGCAAGATTCAGATATGGTTTAATGCTGAACTTTCAAAATTTAACATTAGAGTTCCTGATTTGTCTACAACTGGATGGATACTGTGTTTATAGAGTTCATTCTTGACCTTACCTGAGTAAGTACTTTAACTTAAAGTATGAGATGCACCTAGAGGGGTAATACATTGAGTTTAATAGGAAGACAGTTAATAACCTTTTTTCATCCTCATGCACTATCAATCATGGCTGTCACCAGTCTGCTGAATCAAAGCAAAAGTGTTCTTCACAGATGACTGATTAGAAACGCAAAATCACAAGATCCATCTTCATGGTCACTTTTATTATAGTCATTTTTAAACTGACAGCAACCTGCTCAGTTTCAGCAGACTGGGCATCACAAATAGTGTCACTCAGTGCAGCTAAGCATGAGAAGATGTTGGCTGGATTATACTTAGAAATAATTAGGCCTAAAGCCTTTTGTGGAAGCAAGGAAAAGGATTTTCTTGGTTCCAGCCCCATCTTTTCAACACTAGCAGTAACCTGTGCTTTAACAGTGGGTTAATATCAGAAAATATTTTCATCCTTCTGCTTCTCATGAATTAATCAGTTTTAGGTGATCCTTTAGGTGATCCTTTTTAAAAACAATACCTCAATACCTTTGCTGGTAATGTGAACTATCACTTTTGATAGAACCACTCTTAAGCATAGGCTTAACATTATATACTGCTATTTGTATAGTGTCATGATGAATTGTTGGTTTCCAGCCTTCTGAGGAATATTGCAAAAGCTAATTACCTTGTTAACTAGATCTGTTTCAATAACATTGTCCCCTGTTCAAATAAACTAGTGAACAGTTCAACGGTTTAAGGTTATTTATAAATTAAATAGGCTCCAGAAAATATTAAATCAAAATGGTATAGGGGAGAGGGAGAAAAAGAGAGAGAGCGAGAGAGACAGCACGAAGGAGCACAGACACTGCAAGTTGTGCTCTGTTCTAATGTTTCTGAAATGCAGTGAAATCTAATATAAGGAAAACTATCCAGTAATGTTGAAAAATGAAAGTTTCTTTTTCTTTTCCTTTTCCTTTTCCTTTTTCTTTTTCTTTTCCTTTTCCTTTTTCTTTTCTTTCTTTTTCTTTTTCTTTTTCTTTTTCTTTTTCTTTTTCTTTTTCTTTTTCTTTTTCTTTTTCTTTTTCTTTTTCTTTTTCTTTTTCTTTTTCTTTTTCTCTTTCTTCTTCTTCTTCTTCTTCTTCTTCTTCTTCTTCTTCTTCTTCTTCTTCTTCTTCTTCTTCTTCTTCTTTCCATTGTAGAAATATGGTAAATATTGAGTTTGCGTTACCACTTACAGTCTTTAAGCTTTGTATATACTAAGATAAATTGCATAAATTACTTTTGACTCCGAAGAGTGTTTTTTTCTGGTGTAAAAATAGTAGGATCAGTTCCATAACATAAATAAAAGCCTTTCACTCTACATAATGCTGCTTAACATTGGTAAGAAAATAATAGATTCTGATTTGGAATTTTGATTCAAGAACTGATGAAGACAGCAAAGAATAAAAAATAATTTTTGAATTATGTGGAATTATGTGTTAAATCTCCCTCAAAAATCTTCAAAAAATTTTTTTTTTGATTAAATGCCATCTCATGTTGTCAGCACAAAACAACACATTACACCAGTTGAGCATCATTTTAGAGCTATCTTTAGATTTCCAGTTGTGCATTGGGCTTGCCTTTTAACTGTAAACCCCCAAAGATTTACAAACCCCCAAAGATTATTACTAAGCCACATTTGTGGGGCTGTGATTCCTCAGGACTTGTTCAAAGGACTTTAAGCACTACATAGCTAAAATTTTTCTTTAATTCACACTTGTTAACTATGACTGTCTTTAGTGGGCTGCAGTGTTGGACCTTTCTAGCAGAGCCACTTTTGGTGCCCCCTCACCTCCCATATAGAGTAGGACTTTTACCAAGCTGGTCTCTTCCAGAAGGCCGTGCTGTTCCTTTCTACCCTCAGACCTCACTCATACTTTTTTCTTGAGGCTACCTACACAAACAGTGGTTATGAAGTCAGGTAGATAGAAACATTCACATCAACTCTCTCATGGACACACACACACATGCATAAAACATGCTACACATAAGCAATACAACAAGAATAGGCACACAACCTGAATACTTGGGATATTTACCCCAAGCTAGTCATGCCAGGGTAATATCTTTAATTCAAGTATAATTAACAGTTTTATAATATTTTTGCATACTGAACAGTTATAAGACAGAAAGAAGGAAAGCAGGAAGAAAAGCAGGAAGCTTTCTGTCCAACCGAGAATCACATGCTCTGTAAATATGTATATATATTTTTTCCTCAATAAATGCTTATCTTAAGGAAATAATTATCATTTGATAACATGGTCTCATGTAGAGACTACGTGTTTGTTAAAGTGCTTTTAACACACATTTTCTGATGCAATTTTCTGATGAAAAATTGATACACTAATGTTGACTGACATCTGTCTAAAAATCAAAGAGGCTGAATATATCTGAATTTAAATTTACGAACATTAATCAAAAGCTAATCAAGTGGAGGAACTAACAATGGCTACGGATAAAATAACACATTCATGTTTTAATAATGATGTTTTTGGGGAGAAGACAATGTTATTTAATTCTTTCTTTTTTTTTTTCTTTCTTTTTTTTCTCTCTCTCTCTTTTTTTTTTTTTTTTTTTTTTTTTTTCCTGGTAGGTATTTTTAATAGTATACTTACAATATGAATAACTAGGGAAAGTTGACTGTAAATTATTCATGTGCAACTTTGTGTGTTCTAAGGACATATTATAAATAAATCCTCAGATCTGAAAGTACAAATATCTGCATTAAAATAAACAAAGTAATACATTTGTTCA